ATGAAAAAGGATTGAACTGGACTTTTTGGAAACAATAGAAAATGCAACTTAAAATCTAGTGAATACAACCAAAGGGTATGAAATTTGACTGATACTTAGTATTAGTGAAACCCAAAAGGTTTACTTCCGTATTCATAGCCAATCAGAATTTAGATTACCAAACATAGAAATTAGTCCAAAAGATTTGATGGAAGCAAAACATGCTATTCCCGGAGAAGGTTTGTAAATGTAAACAAATGATTTTGGGGATAAGGCAGTATAAAAATAAATATATCTATGAAAACATTTATAATGACATTATTACTTGAAACAATGCATAAATGTATAGGACAAAATTCATTCCTGCCAAGCCCCCCCCCCCTCCTTCCCTTCTTAAGATTTAAATGAGAATATCATTTATTCAAAAGTAACACATGTATGGAATATAATATGGCAGGAATTTTAAATTAGTACACTTATCTGATACTGGTTCCATGAATGTTACAAATATGTTCAGAAATAAAAGTTGTTAAATTAGAAACTTTTGGGGGTATATTTCTGTTGTTCTGACATCCAAATTTTAAAACCTTGAAAATCAGACCTAGAGTATTCATAGTTTTTGTTTGACGAAGAGTTGAAAATGCAACTTCACGTTTTCATGTGTTCATAACATGTGTCTTTCAGTTTGTGGTAAAGAATGAACAAAATTGTTATTTATTGTTAAAGTTTCATTTTCTTCTCCTTTATGTAATATGTAACAGTTTACAAACTAATTATTCATATTTCAACTCCCTATTGTAACAATTCTGAAATGATTTACTTTAGACGCTGTTATGAACGATATACGAAGTTTACGGTGAATAAATTTCCTTCAAGTTCCCTGCTGAACATGCACATCTTTACATTCTGTGTTGTCATCCACATATTCTAATTCTAATGTAACATTTCAAGCTTTTTACTGGTCAATGACAATTTTATTGCAAAAAAAATTCTTCATTTATTGTTCATAACCAAGACACTTTAAGGTCAGAGAGGTAGTGATGTTTCCTTTATGCTCATTTAAACTCTTAACCACCTTCTGTTGCATGTAACATATATTCCACAATAATTCTGGTAATATATTAAATGCATATTAGCTACTAATTGGAAATAGTATCACCATGCCTGCAGGGGAGATTCTAGAGCAGTAACGTGTATGACCAACAACCATGTATGAATGACTTTGAAGTTATCCTGAGATGTCAATGATACAAAAACACGATACAAATTATTTTCAGTTTTAATATAAATTCATTACATTTCAAAAGATATTATTCTTCCAAATTACAAATCTGAAAAGAAAGAAAAAACTAAGTTTATATACACTATTGATCAAACCAATTGAAATTTGGACCCGCTGCCGTCTGAGGCTCTCCACTCAGTGCGAATTGTGGTTCCTCAGGTTGACTTATAAATGCTTTGCCCTCTATGGTCTGGGGCTCTCCACTCAGTGCGATTTGTGGTTCCACAGGTTGACTTATAATGGCTTTGCCCTCTATGGTCTGGGGCTCTCCACTCAGTGCGACTTGTGGTTCCACAGGTTGACTTATAATGGCTGGGCCCTCTTTGGTCTTGGGCTCTTATAATGGCTGGGCCCTCTATGGTCTGGGGCTCTCCACTCAGTGCGACTTGTGGTTCCACAGGTTGACTTATAATGGCTGGGCCCTCTATGGTCTGGGGCTCTCCACTCAGTGCGACTTGTGGTTCCACAGGTTGACTTATAATGGCTGGGCCCTCTTTGGTCTTGGGCTCTTATAATGGCTGGGCCCTCTATGGTCTGGGGCTCTCCACTCAGTGCGACTTGTGGTTCCACAGGTTGACTTATAATGGCTGGGCCCTCTATGGTCTGGGGCTCTCCACTCAGTGCGACTTGTGGTTCCACAGGTTGACTTATAATGGCTGGGCCCTCTATGGTCTGGGGCTCTCCACTCAGTGCGACTTGTGGTTCATATTCTTTTTTGTGATTGCACAAACATCATGTAATTAGAATGTTCCCACAGCTACCTTTAATTTTTCTTTATATATATATTTTTTAATATTTACAATTTTTTTAACTTACAAATAAATAAATAATTTTTGGAGGCTATTCAATAAATGCAAACATGTGTGAAATGAGGAGCAAGTGACTATTTGATAAAAACAATAGCATGAGTTTCACGGTAACGTTTTATTTAAAAGCGAACACTTGCCCCGTTTGACGACCAGTAGGTGAATGAGAGGATTTTCGTTAACATGAATATCATAACTATCTTTCTTTCTTTCTTATTAAACGTAGTTCCATCTTCAATATTGTGTTTTGAAGTAAGCTGTTCATGAAATTTTAAAGTCATAGAAGCAAAATTAGTTTCAATCACTATTTAAAAATACGATGATATCTCGTCAAGAAAAGTGCATTGAGGCAGAAGGGGGGGGGGCGGAGAAACAATGACGTCATCAATAAAAGGGCGACACGCAGAGTGATGTCATCAAATAGAAAAATGTTTAAAGTATCAAGGTGATTCTTTTCAACACTAACTGTACTTTTTTGTTTTAAATTCTTTAAAATATTTAGTGTATGAATCTCATGGTATCAGTCCACGAATATATAAAAACCCTCCAATAAACAACATTTTTTATCTTAAAAAAAGTATTTTAAAAAAATCGATTTCAAACATACCAATTGATTAAAAGATTTGCTTTTAATTAGGAAAAAATAATGTTGTAATTATGGATGCTATGACATGTAGAACAATAAATTGCATTTTACGTTTGTGAGAGAAATCTAATTAACCTACACAATGAAAATGCATGTTAGCTGGATTTAAAACATTGCTGTGATGTCATTTCTTTGTTCTGCAGTGAGTAGTGAGCATTCCCTGCCGACCGGACACACCCACCATGTGCTCCTTGTTCCGGGGAAAACGGAAAAAAATCCGTTATCAATTCAGTGTGTATTTAACATGTATAATGGCCTTACAATTAGTATGAAAACGTCAGTCAGCATTTGACTTAATGATAAATTGTTAATTTTGCAAACAAGGTCATTGTATCGACCATAAAACTTACGGAATGATGACTTTAAACTAGACTGCTGATATCTTCATCAACTTTTTTGTTAATAACTTACTGCGTTTTAGCAATTAATACGTTCTAACATGCTCCCCTGTATCGAATCAACCATGAGATTATAAACTCTGTATGCAGGTGTTGAAGGTATATTGCTGTATGGAAATTGACGATTTAAAGTTTGGTGTTTCATCTCTAACAAATCCTGCTCTAGTTGACTTGTATCTAAAAGCATGGAAATTTTCCTCGACTTCTTTTGAGATATTTCACATTACTATGTTCAACTCCCATGAGTACTTTCAGTACTTTGAGTTTTCTATTATATACTACTGTAGTATATCATATATAGGCCTATTATATACTACAGTAAAAAAAAAAATAATGGTATATCTATAGGTCCCTGATATTACCCCTCTCACTTAAAAAAAAAACAAAACACCTAGTATCTGGTATATGTATGCATTGCACTACCATGTAGATTGATTATTTAATTACCCTGTTATATTTATATTATCTCTAAACATGCAAATTCTTTGGTTAGCTTTTACCTTAACAAGGCCTCATTTACCCCTTGGTGTTCCTCAGAAGTTTACCCAGCATTCAAGAGTATCAAAAGTGATGTTTATTTTCTTCTACATCTATTTGGTCATATCTAAAAAAGATACTTAAACCTAGTCTTCAAGCATGCTTGAAACATTTATTATTGTGTAGTTTTTCTTTTTTAAAAGAGCAAACAAGCCAGTTTAATGATTAAATTTTTTGTCGCCCGACAGATGTCGCTTTACCTGAAAAAATAATTTCTGAGCCATGAATGGCAAAGTCTGTCTAACTGTACAGTAAAATTGGAAAATTGTATATTACTATATTAAAATAACAATATTTGTAAGAGAGGTAGATTTGTAATAAATGAATGAAAATAGTGTTGAATTAATTGATTTGATGTTTTGAAATTTATAAATAACTTAAGAATGATAGAATAATCTATTACCGGAAAAACGTTGTTTGTTCGCAAAGGTTTTAGAAATTATTATCAAAATGGCACCGGTCTTGCTAGCGCCTCTTCAAAAATAATTTTGTTAATTTATAATTTAGTGAAGTAATCCTTTAAAATGGAGAGAACATAAGCTTTTCATGGAATTTTAGATAAGTAGTGCTTGCAGGTTAGCTGGTAAAACGAATATTTATATATATTCCAGAATCTTTCTTGAAGAATTTCAAACTTTAGAAATAGAGGAAATCTTGGCTGATTATAATACCGAATATGCCCAGCATTTAAAAAAAAGGTTATATTTTGTGCCTTTATGTGGATTATTTTAACTAAAATTGGGAGAACATTGAAAAACACATAACGATATAGGTTATAAACATGAACAGATAAAGACAATTTTGGAAAACGAGGGAAAAGAAAAAAAAACTGTACTTGAATAATATCTAACGTTAATATGAAACGTTTGGAAATTTTGATCGACTTTGTAAAATTTAATTAAATAATTATAAGTAATGCCATTTAATTGGAAATTCAGATGTGAATGTAAAGTGAAGCGGTCACCCATCTTAGGGTTAAACAGGCTTGCTGTTGCTTAACTTGCCTGAAATAGAGGGAGACTGTACCGCATCACCAGAAAAGCTAGCTCACTAGCGAGGCAGTATAAGTTCCCTATATACTGTACGCTCCAAAAACTTAACCAAAAAAATTCCAACCCGAAATTTCGAAAACTTACGTTGATCCTTTTGTACAGTATAACCATGTTTGGAGAATATTTTGTCTTGGATGTAAAAATTTTACATTTACTAGATGCAATTAGGCTTAAGTTAGAATTATGTTTGTCTGCAGATATTAATCTTAAAACAATGCTATTGCTTGGCCTTAACATGCTGGAAAAATAATTTTGCTTAGCTGTATGAACCTGGTTATATTTCTTGAAGATTGAATTCTATTTCAGACCTTAACTGCTCAGAATGTTGCAGTCGCCGTTGAGCCCCCATGATGTCACGGGTCAACTGACGACCTTTAGGTCGTATGTTGCTCTCATCGCAGATCCGACCCCAGGGAGTAAGTATCTGAATCTGTAAACTTTTAATAGAAAAAAATCTGCTTAATGAAACATTTTATATGAACATCAATTTTGTGTAAAATATATTAATACTGGATATGAATAGAGTCCAACTCTTGATAGAAAATAGTCCAAGTAAATCATTTTACATTACAACATCGAATTTGAGTACAAGATTTTCTATTAAATATTTTGTTATCCTACAGTTAAGGTGAATATAGATTGTACATTACTCTCCAAGGTGTAGTTTTTCATTTCCCCCCTCTTATTCACATTCTATATAAAAAAAAAAGGAAGTTTCCAAAATACTTGTGATAACTAGGATTAGATAAATATATAATTTATGACAATCATGCTACATTTTCAGTATAGAGAAGATAATCAAATTCTAGGAATTGAAATTATAATAGTATTTTTTTTTTAATAATCAAAAAATTTTTTTTGTTATTAATTTTGTGGAATGATTAACAAAATTTGTTGTTGTTGATCTGACTCCCTGTTTGTTTTGGGTTGAGGCGGACATGACGGTATAATGCTGATAAGATCTGACCACAAAGAACTCGACCACACCAATCAATTTTTTTTGTTCGTCGGACCCGGGCGCTTGTATTTAGACAAAACTATACAAATAATATTAATTTCAGTTTCCCACATCATGGAAATTCTGTACTATTTTCTGTTCCATTTCCACTCTATTTTTGTATTTTGAATCTGCTTACTCTACATCAGTAAAATATAATTGTCTGCTCAAATTTTTTTGCGTTTCACCTTAAAATTTGGCCTACGAAAAAGTTATAATGTTATCATGGTTATTATTTAACTGCTTGCCCGCTCATACTTTTTTTCATCAGATATCCGATGAACAAGAAATTAAATTGGTGTGGCCCTGGTTTAAAGATTTCATAATTTTCTTGAGAATTTTAATTTACAGAGGACTTTCTTCTGTTTTTAAAATTTTTACACTCAGAAGTTTGACTACCTTAATAACATGTTTTATGGATATTATTTTAGTTGTTGAAAAGAAATTGAAGGCAGCTCAGGAACTCAGTGAGAATTTTGAGGTAAGTGTATGAACTGATATATAATGTGATATATAATGTGTTCAGCATGTTCATTAAAAATCTTTAACAACTCTTGTAAGACTAAGAAAGCACATTGACATTATATATTCTATATTGACAAGTCAACATATTTTTTTAGTTATATGAAGCTGATTAAGTTTTCTATCAAATATTTCAATTTTTATTCATTATTTATATATAGTCCTTAGGGCTGTCACGGGAACCCGAAATGACCTGAAACCGCGGAACAATTAATTCGGGTTGGGTACGGTTCTGTTTTTCCGGAATTCGGGTCGTTTCCAATTTGTATAGTAGAGTAGGTTTTACTATAAAAATGGCGTCAAAAACGAGAGATTTGTTAGTACATTGCAATTATAAGGTGATTTAAATAATTTGGTACAATTGCTTTCTAGTCAGGAAACTACTTTAAACTAGTTATAATGTTGCTATTTCTAAGATTAAATAAAAATATTCTTTTTGTTCTTTAAAATAATACAAATCATGAGCTTTTATTCCATTACCTACCCGAACCGACAAACCCGAGACCGAACCTTGAAAAATTAGAACCAACCCGACAAGAAAAATTTTGGGGCCGTGGCAGCCTTAATAGTCCTCATGATCATTCAGTGATTACTGAATGTAGACATAACACAAGTTTTATATAATTTTTTTAAAAATTAAATGATCTAACTTCTGAATGACTTGAAAATTATCCTTTGATTTCAAAATTACAAGTATAAGATAAGTTACTCTATATGTACTAATTTTTTATCTGTCCTCTCATTACAGAGTGTGGTTCTGTCCCCCCAATATTCACAGTTCCTGGGCGAGGCACTGAAGGTCTTCCTAAAGATCCTTGATGAAGGGGAACCACAGTTTATTGCTGAACAAAACATGCAGGTCAGGATACAGGCTGTTTATAAATATTTGTTCAATGATCACAGATACTGTAGACATTTTTTTTTCCATGGGGTCATAATTCCAAGGAATCTCTATTTTAGTTCAAATTGCTGGTAGAAAACAAGCTAATTCAGAGAATTTGTGTCCCCCGCTTAGGGAAAAGTAAACCATACGCAGTTCGGGGGTCGCGGGGGGGGGGGGGGGGGGGGTCGCGGGGGGGGTAGGGGTGGGGAACCCCTTCACTGAATTTGTAGAATTATTAAATGTATACTGAAGCAAATAAAATACTGTAGAAGTACTTTTTTCCGCGTGGTATTATTTTACGCTATGTACGCGGTCACAAATTTTCCACGGAAATTTGTACAAGCATACTTAAGGTTAATGTAAGGCATATAGTGACAGTTTAAGAAATCCGCGTAATTTTCTACCCGTGGATTGAACAAAAATTGTGTTTCCGCGGAATTATGACCCCGCGGAAAAAAGTACGTCTACAGTATGCCAATATGGATATACATAATGGTTTGATGGATTATTCTTTATTATGTGTGGAGGAGATTCTTTTTTATATGAAATATTTATCACACTGTAATGATGATATTATGAGTTTGTACAAGCCAGACCTCATAAATTTTTCATTTCACATGCTGAATACTATCGTTTAGAAAAAAAAGAAAAGTATTTCGAAAAAAAAAAAAATGGATCGTCCGAGATGCGATCCCGGGCCCTCTCACATGTGAAGCGAGAGACATACCACGAGACAACAGAGCCGCTGTAACATACTGGCAATTGTATACAAACATGAAGTGACATATGTGTATATATTCACATTTGATATTGTCTAAATTTTACACAGTGCATGGTGTCTAATTTAACCTTTATTAAACAGTTCTAATAGATGTAATAAGAATATAAAGTCCACCGAGAACCCGTTTTATACGTAATATTTCTCCTCATGTCCCTGTGCTAAAAATAGCAACATGAAATACGATAAATACTAATAAAACAACGGGGCGGGGCTAAGAGTGAAACGTTTACTGAATTTTGTAAACGTTTAAACGGATAGCAGTAAACGAAACGGTACCGTTTAAACGGGAGATATTCTATGTTGGATTTTTATGGCTACTTACTCATGAAACTCGAATTTAATAATCAATTCTTTCACTTTAATATAAGTATGAGTTGTTATTACAAATTTATTGTTGGTCATTGTGATTTAACCGTAAGAATTTGAGGCGCATTAAATTCATTCACTTACGACCTCATCACCCAACTGCTTGGTTTGTTTGGTTACCGGACGTAGAAAAAATAATTGTAAAGATGGATCTTTTAATCTCGAAAAAAGTAAAACAAGACCTGCTAACTGTATTGAAACTTTTCAAAGACTTGTGAAAAATGTATTATATTTATTTAATCAAAACATATCAAGTTTTATATTTCAAGTGTCGTAAAACATCGCTAGTATTAGCAATAGCAACTCGGAAATCGGAATTAATTATGTTAGCCCGTATCGGGTTTTAGATATTTTCATTCAATATGTTTCCGGTTTAGATTGTTGCTTATCAAATGGTCAAAGACGGTGTTTCTTTTGTAAGTTATATAATAAAACAATTTGTTTGTGTTAAACTTTATTTCTGATAGACATTGATAATGACCTTCGTGTAAACGTTTACTCAAACTGTAAACGTTTAGAGCATATAATCGAAACGTTGCCGTTTACACGTGTAATCGTTTCGCCCTTAGACGGGGCACTTTGAGAGGGGTGAGAGAGGTCCTAGGGAGTTTTGGTATACAATTACATTGCAAAAGCTCAAAATCTTCTTGAAATATCGCCTGGAAAGGATAGTGTTTCATACAGACAGAATGTATAAATTTACGACCTTGAACTTTGACCTTTTGACCTCAAAATCAATAGGGGTCTCATTTAGATCACAGGGAGTTGTTATGTAAAATATCATTGTAAAAGCTCAAAGGGTTCTCGAGATATCGTGTGGAAACGAAAGTGTTATAACAGACAGAATTTGCTTATTTATGACTTTGACCTTTGACCTTTTGACCTCAAAATCAATAGGGGTCTTCCTTTGACCACAGGGAGTTGTTATGTAAAATATCATTGCAAAAGCTCAAAGGGTTCTCGAGATACCGTGTGGAAACGAAAGCGTTACAGACAGACAGAAAGAGGGACGGACGGACGGACGGACAAACCCAAATTAATATCGCCCACTTTTCAAGCGGGGGACAATTATGCGGATATTTTAAGACTCTCCTTATATGCCTTATATTTGCATTAAGTTCGATTGGACAAAATTTCCGCAGAAAATTTGTGACCACGTACTGTACATTGCATAAATTAATACCACATGGAAAAAAGTTCTTATACAGTACTGTTAATCGATAAAAATTAGTGCAGATTTAGTGTCTTTGTCATGTCATACTTATGGAGCAATATTTAAAAGTGGTGAAAATAAAAAAAAATATAATGGAATGGAATTAAAGATTTTTTTTATCAAAATATCTAAAATAGGTGAAATGTAAAGAATTGCATTGTAATGAAATGTGAGAAAAAGAGGTGAATTTGTTCCAATTCTCAAAAAAAACCTTTTTGTATGGAATGCACATTGTATAGGAGAGCCATTGTATATATGTTTTGATTTTTTTAGCAACTGAGAAAGCTACTACTGGAGATTATTCATCGGATTCCGAGCAATGAGCACCTGAAGAAATACGTCCAGCAGATCCTATCACTTATGTTCAAACTCTTAAAGGTATACTTAAAAATTACTTAGTTTTTACTTCAATCCTGTTCTCAGTTGAAATTGTTAAGGTATCCTTGAAAATCACTCAGTTTTTATATTCCTCATCTTCAAAATCTTAGAGATATCCTTAAAACTCTCTTAAATTTTACATCAATCCCATTCCACTAGGGCTGGGACGATACAACATTTTCTATATCGATATGTATCACGATATTTAAGCCACGATACGATATGTATCACGATATGTTTAATTGCTTATAAAATCTGTTTTTACATTGAAATAAACAAATTATTTCTTTGCATATAAGAATAATTTATTCAAAATAGTTGTTTATATGTTGTAAAGCAATCATATTTTACTGAAGTGGTGTAAATAATTATTCATTTCACATCTATATTTATATTTATCTTATTTACTTTATATATTAAACCCCAAATGTTAAATAAACAAAGAAAAATAGAAGTAAGATTATGAGGGGCGATATTTCAATATTTCTTCATGTGTATCGATATGCGTATCGTCCTCACATGTATCACGATATATCGATATCTCGATATATCGTCCCAGCCCTACATTCCACATGGTCAAACTCTTAAGATTATCCTTAAAAATTACTTAGCTTTTACTTGTTTCTCTTGTTTTTAAAGAAATTCTAAAAAATTGTTATGGTTTTAAATTGATCCTTTTAGTATTCCCCATATTCAATCTTCTGAAGTATCCTTAAAAATCGGTTAAGTTTTAAATTGATGCTGGCCTCTGCATTAATATACATGTATTCCTAAAAGTTATTATATTTTTTCTAGGGCTGGGACGATATATCAAAATATTGATATGTCGTGATATATGTGAGGGCGATACACATATGGATACATTTGAAAAATATCGAAATATCGCACCCCAAAATCTGACTTCTGTTTTTCTTTGTTTATTTAACATTTGGGGTTTAATGTATAAAATAAATAAGTTAAATATAAATATAGATATGAAATCAATAATAATTAACACCACTTGAGTAAAATATTTTTGCTTTACGACACATAAACAACTATTATGAATGAATTATTCTCATTTGCAAAAGAAATAATTTGTTTATTTCAATGCAAAAAAAGATTTTATAAGCAATTCAACATGTCGTGATACATATCGTATCGTGGCTCAAATATTGTGATACTTATCGATATAGAAAAAAGTTGTATCGACCCAGCCCTAATTTTTTCTTTGGTCCATTGTTGAAAAGGTGCCATACATGTAGAATTAACAACTTAGGACTTAGAATGTGATGTCACACAAAAACAATTCAATTGGAATGACATTTATGTGTACAACTTATCTATTACAGATTGAGAATGAGGAGAACGTTTTGGTTTGTTTACGTATCATTATAGAGCTACATAAACAATACAGGCCACAGATGAATGAGGAGGTATGAAACATCAGCATTACAGCGATACAAAAAAAATCAACAAAATAAGCATAATTTTGACATTTTTTTTTCGAAATATGTTGTGTAGAATTTTTCACATCAAGCAATTTGCTTTTAAAAAGGTCAGCAAAGACATGTACAGTGCAGCTCTAACTTGTTTACAGACATTTATTTTTAAAAGATGATGAAATTTGTGTTCTTCAGATGAACATGATAAATGCTATGAAAGTTTATCACCTTTCTGTCACTCTAATCGAAAATATATTTTGTACTGCTATTATTAAAACTATGCTGTTGAATATGATGAAAATCATTGTTTCACATATGTGATAAATGGAACTGGAAGAATTAAATTTTTTTTTCCTTGCAGATAAAAGACTTCCTTCAGTTTGTGAAAACCATCTACAACACGATACCCAGTCATCTGGCCAAGATCTTTGAGCCTCGCAGTCAGATTAAGGTCAAGGACGTCACAGAGGTCAATGTCGACACCATACTGCAGGAGACCTTCACCACGACGACCATACTGACAGACAAGAAAAACGCGGATAACCAGAACATATCAGTATGTCGTCATTATAACCAGAACATATCATTATGTCGTCATTATAATCATGTCAAAAATTGGAGTATTCTTCTGTAAAGGATTGCAGTCTCTTGATTGCCAGTGAACTTAAAATGTGTCTTTTAAATTTGTTCAACTGCTATTAAAAAGCACCTGCTTGAGAATTTTTACTCAAAAACATCAAATTCATGTAGAATTTTTGCTTGATTAATGAATTTACTAGAGGTTGGACTTCAACAAATCTTAGAGAGTTATGATAATCCTGATCAGCTCATTATCTTATTTCAAACTTGAAATTTTTTTCTCCCCCAAAGGGTAATACATGTACCTGTTGAAAAAAATTGAAACTTTATTTTTGGATTACTTGTGTGGTATTAACATCCGTTATAGCTGGAAATAAATTTACATTTGTTGATTTCAGTACAACATTATCCCCCGTGGAGTCCTGTCCCTGAAGGTGCTGGCCGAGCTACCCATTATAGTGGTCCTCATGTACCAACTGTACAAACCCAACGTACATCAGGAAGTGGCGGAGTTCATTCCCCTGATCATGAATACCATAACACTACAACCCTCAGCCATTCACAAGTAAGAATTATCTCTCCTCTGTCTCTCTTTCTCTCTCTTTCTGTCTCTGTGACTCTCTCTGTCTCTTTCTTCCCCTCTTGAATTCATATTCTCTTTCATAGTTTGTCAGTCCCAATCTCTGGTTTATACATTGTATCATGTTATTTCAAAAAATATGAATATCAAAAGGCTAAGCATTGCAGGTTGAGAGCAATTTGTTAGAAATATGTCATTTACATTAAATATATGGTTGCTTGTAACATATATATTATGTACTGATTTTCCTGTGTAAAAAAGCTTTATCCGTAAGTTTTGCATTGAAATTAACTTGAATACAATTGTTTACTTTTTTATAGGACCAGTCCATCGTTCAACAAGGAAGTGTTTGTGGATTTCATTGCAGCTCAGATCAAAACTCTCTCATTCCTAGCTTACATCATCAGGATTTATCAGGTTTATATTTTGTACAGTTGCGATTTACTTCTCTCATGGTATCAAAAAACAGTTGACTGGATGTTTTGAAAAAATAATTCAGTTTTAAAACATACTGTAGACCAAAGGCAACTTTTTAAATTAAAAGTTAAAAGCAAAAAAAAGTGTTTAAGCTTTGTGTGATCTTAAATAAAACTTCTAGTAAAAAAAAACAAACATTTACCATCTATTTGCATCAAAGATGTCTTAGACTAAAATTTGTTCAAAATTTTGAAGAATTTACATTAATCATGTTAATTATATTCATACCATAAGATTACACACACAGTATTGTACATCTATTTCCAACATAGGAACAAGTCCAGCAGCATGCTAATCACATGGTGAACGGACTTCTGGGATTGCTGGAGTTCTGCCCACAGGAAGTGGCCCATCTCAGAAAGGAACTGCTGATAGCTGCCCGGCATATTCTGGCCACAGACCTCAGAAACAGTAATGGGGCACCTTACCAATTTTACTGAATTTTACAGGCTGTAGAGTACTACTTGTATAAATGAAAATTTGGATACCTGTATAACATGCAATGTTCTTGAGAAATCAAAATTCTGTATAATATGTACAAATGAGTCATGAAAATACACAGAGAATCATTTTTTCTATGCAACTGAAAAAAAAATTCTTTTGGCAGAACCAACTGTAACTCAGATGCATTTGATATTTTATCTCTACAGAGTTTGTACAGGTCATTGACAAATTGTTTGATGAGAAAATTTTGATTGGATCAGGATGGACAACTCATGAATCTTTACGGTGAGTTTGGACTTTCATACTTGATATTTATGTTTTTAAGCTTTTGAAGCTGCTTGTATAATTGCATACATGTAAATTATACATGTCATGAACTTATAAACCTTTCTGTTTATTTAGTAGGGAATCATAAACTTGTGCATCAATCATGTATTTTTTACAATATTGAGCCTTTTTCAGTGTTTTCTCACAGAAATGTTATTGTGGAGTTTACATAAAATTTCAGCCTAATCACTGAACATTAGAATCTGTATGTATAACCCATTACCTCTTCCTCTGACAGCCCCCTGGCCTACAGTACCCTGGCTGACCTGGTCCATCACGTGCGTCAGTCCCTGCCCCTGAAGGAGCTCTCGATGGCGGTCAACCTGTTCTCTAAGAACGTCCACGACGAGTCCCTCCCCAGCAGTATACAGACCATGTCCTGTAAACTCCTACTGAACCTGGTCGAGTGTATCAGGGCCAAGAGTGAGGCCGAAAATGGAAATGTGAGTCCATGGACTGATTTACAGATACAACATATTCATATAACATAAATTTATGTTATCAGAGCTAAGGGTAAAGACAGACAAGAAACTTTGTGATTATGTGACAGAGTTATCTGTCTGATTTTTAAATGCAACATGTTTATACAATGTAAATTCATGCTATTAGAGCTTAGAAAAGAAATTATGAAATAATTTTGCTATTTTTTGATGTTTAATTCATAGAGTTTATATTGAAAGTATAAATATATGTTGATTTAAGTTGGAGGGAAAAAATCAAAGAAGCCTGGGAACTTTTAAAGTGAACTAATAATTCTTTGCTTTTCAGTACAAATTCATTATTGTTGAAGAACAGTTAATTGTGGTTTGGGTGAGAGGGATTGCAGATGTTTGTATGTTTATCATTTCAGGGGAGAGAACTGCTGATGAGAATGCTGGAAGTTTTCGTCCTGAAGTTCAAAACCATTGCTAAGATTCAGCTACCACAAATTCTACAGAAATGGTAAAAAACAAATTTTATTCTGTTCAAAGGAAATGGTTGATAATAGATACTTGTATCTCTATTTATTTGTAAAAATGACCCAGGAATGAATGTGATGATATCCTATACCTTTATACATCCCCTGCAGCAAACAACAGCCACAAAGTCCCACACAACAGACACCCACCTTGACCGATGCCAAACAGAATGTGGAGGTCAAGGTCGAAGCTCCTAAAACTCCAGTGGAGGAGAGTAAGCCCCCCATGACTGCCTCACTACTGGCTGACACGGCAACCAAGGACACAGACAAAGCTTGGACTGAAAAGGTCAGTAGAGGTCAAGGACATCATTTGACCTAAATAATTGAACCAATCTTCAATTAGATGAAATCTGGATGTAATTTGGTTTTGATTTTTTTGTGTTAGTCACATTTGAAGATATTGTCCTATCAAGATGATATCATCATATTTGTCTTTTTTAAAAATGGAAACTTTTTTTTAATATGCAGAAATGAAAGACGTTTTAAAATTTTTACTTGACATTTTATCATCGCAGTCGCTGCAGAACCGTTTTGGGGTGACTCCTAGTCAGTACAGCGTTTATTCGGTCAGTGATTGTAGAAGTCTGGTCAAGACTCTGGTGTGTGGAGTCAAAACCATCACCTGGGGCATCGTGTCCTGTAAAGCCGTGGGCGCAGGTCAGTGTTGTTTAAAATCAAAACTGAATTGAAAATCCTACCCAGAAAAATTAACCTTAAATGATTTGAATGAATTCAATTAGGCTATCTAAATTTAATTCCTTGGTTCTCAGGCCAATTTTCTCCAAAACAGATGCGGGAGGGCGGCATTTTATTTTTCATTTTATTGGCAATAAAGTAGATGAGGGAGGTATTTTTTTTAATTTTAATTTCCGAATTTTCTTTAACATAAAGATAATTTTTTTAATCACAGATATACTTTCCATTTCTGGTCAAAATTTCTGCTTTATCCATTGCTTAACAGCGTGTAAACATCGTAGGTAATGTCCTCCAATGTATTTTCTGAAAATGACTACCGGAAGTGATATTTGAATACTAAACTACGAAACAAATGAGGTCGGAATTTTTTTTCCCGGATTGGTCTCCGCAACACCAACTTTTTATTTTATCAAAAATACAAAAAAATCGGCAATGCGGCCTCCTCAAAACGGATGCGGGCGGGCCTGAGAACCAAGATTTCAATTTTATTTGGCCTTAATTTTATTGACTTGGTAAAAAACTGAATATACAATCAAACCTTGATCAAAAAATTAGATGATATCCTAGGATTCAAGATATTTAGCATAAAATAATTAATAGAAATAAGGGGGTAGGGATTTAAAAATCAATTTTGACATAACTATGGTATTTGAAATATTTGGTGTTTGGGTGCAGAAGTTCAACTGTATTTGATGATGCTCTCTAAGTAAGGAACAAAAGAAAGAAATGTTTAGTGCATATGTATGTAAATGTAATACACTTTAATTTAAAAAAAATGCTAATCAACATTCATCATAAATGTTTTAAACTTTTGTATTTCAGAAGCTGCTACTGTCCAGAACAAGCAGTTCCTGCCTAAGGAGGCCCTGGTTTACATCCGACTGGTTAAGTTTGCTTTACAGGCACTGGATATCTACACTATCAACATCGGGGCTAATGGTCAAGCGGTCATCAGGCCAGCAGTGTAAGTGACCAAAAAAAGTTTGATCTTAAGTTTGTGTGAAAACAAAAATTACACAGATGTATATTGATCAAACACATAAATCACTAATTACATGAAGAAATAATGCATAAAAGTGTTTTAGAAAGTTACTGCTAGCTTTTCTATGACCTGGTCGTTCTCAGTAAAGATTTTAGAAATTAGGACGTTTTTTGGTTGACAGGGTTCAAACAGTAAGAACTAAAGAAGAAAAGGAAGTCCTAGAACATTTTGCTGGAGTGGTGAGTAAACTATCATAGATTGTGGCTATTGTCATCACTAAAACTAAGGCATTAGCTCAGTGTACAATAAAATACACATGTATAGCAAAGTGCTAGGAACTGACTATTTTGCTTCATTATAAGCTGATTTGTTATATCTGATAAGTTTACATATAGGGGAATGAAAACCTCTTATAAGCATGTTTTTTTACTGTATGTGTAGGATGTGAAAACGATGTTTCTATTTCTTTGTAGTTCACGATGATGCATCCATTGACTTTCAAAGAGATCTTCTCTTCAACTGTCGAGGTACTCTCATATGCATTTGCTCTTCTTAGTTTCAAAATAAAAAGTTCATGTATATTTAAAATTTAATACCAGCATTTTCTGAAAATTTATAACTGGTAACCTTAAAAAATATTTTATTTTCAGTACATGGTGAATCGGATTCATAACAATTATGCACTACAGGTAGGGGACACAACTCTTTCTTAATTTACAAATTGAATACTATTGTTGTCTGCTCTTTGATTGATTGATTGAAAAACCAAACTCTTTAGTTGTAAAACTACTTTGATAGATGTACATATATAAATACAAGCAAAAAATTTAAGTCACTTCTACAGATGTTTGATAATGTCTTGTACATGTGTTGATGGTATTGTAATATATCACTTGATTTGTAAACGTAATATTATGCGGTCGTCCAGTTCTCATTCTTGTTTAATCTATGTTCAACATGTGCCTGCCAGAAAGTTGCTCGTTTAAGATTTTATTGAAAATAATATGTCAGCTTATCTAGATACGATTTTAGTAATAGCTATTATCATCATAATTTACCTGTTGTCGCTTCATGTAATATTGTAGGAGTTATAATATCGGGGAATAGAGGGTGGATTTTACTTTTCATGTTTTGGAAGCCATCATACTCTACTCGGATCGTCATTTCCGGTTTGGTGACCTATATGTATTTACTAGTAATGCATTGTTCTATTGAAGTTATGAATATGGGATCGTATTCTACTTTTTAGTTTGAGTTGTTTTGTGATTTGAAGCTACAAGTTGTTATTTATTGTTAGCATTCACTTTATAATCAGTCAGCTTTATCGGGACTACATTTGTGTACGCTAGTGTCGGTAGTTACGATATTCCTACGCTACATTGTTCTGCATATATTGTACAGTCTAGGGATGTTTTATAAACATTGAAGGAATTTATTAATTCGTCTAGTCAAGCTTATTTTATGTGTTATATTTCCACTTGTCAATTTTACATAGTTTAACTAGTTACGATGTTGTACGGTAGTTTGTGTGGCAGAAGTAGTTCTGTGTGGGAACTTGTATGGGAACTCAGCCTCCCGTACAAGCTTTTGATTGGTTAATAGTTCGTACGGCATAATTTGATTGGATAATTTGAGTCATGTGACAGGGAATGGGAGGTTATATAAGCGAGCGTACTACGTTACGACAGATTTCAGCTAGTTGTATGGCGGCTATATTTGAAAGTTAAAAAGAAGAAAACATAAACGGTGAGATACTTATAATGTTATTTACGTATATTTAGCCTGGTTAGAAATCTCCTACCACACTGGACGACCTAAACTTGTGTTTCTGAAGAATCAGCTGTTGTTATATTGATGTTTATATACATATTGCCTGTATTGTTATGATTATGAGATGCTGCACATACAAATAAATGCTGAGTATGACTGATCAATCATCTTGAGTATCATTCAACAAAGAATCTACACAGAGTGGTGCCTGGTTGTTTAACATATTAGAACAAATTTAATTACTGGTACATCCTGACAAAAGATGGTTTATTTAGAAGATAAACTATGGCCTATATATAGATGCTGAGGATTCAGAAATACTAGCCACCCCTGGGGTAGCTTACAAACTGGTGTCAGAAGTGGGATACTAAATTATTTTAGTGTCCTGATACGAGCCCATGAGCCGTCCAGTGTGGTAGTTTAACATCAACATTACAGTCTTAGAAGATAAGATGACATAGATTTAACATTAGAATTATTACTGCTTATTTAAGACGACATAAAGAAAATCAAGATGTCAGAATCCGGTGAGTCGGTCGATCATGAAGTCGAAGTACGCGTGCCTCAATCGGTAATGTGTGACGATGGCGGTCAAGGTGACACGTATGACGAACATCAGAAGTCGAGCAATGAGGTACTTTTAGAAAGATCGTCTCCCAGAGGAAATGAAGACAATCATGGTCCACCTAGTGCCTACAGTGGTTTTTCTGGAAGACCTGCTCCTCAGATATTTTCAAGCCCTATCCAACCTGTAAATTACACGATGAAACCTGAGTCCTATGATGGTACTGTAAGCTGGGAAGAGTACATCTCACATTTCAATGACTGTGCAGAACTAAGCCTATGGACAGAGAGAGATAAGGTTCTGTTCCTTGCTGCAAGCTTAAGAGGCCAAGCCAGGACATTTTACATGAGCTTATCCTTGCTTGAAAGAAGATCCTTTGATGCACTTACCAACAAGTTTAGTCAGCGATTTGGAAATTCGAGACACCAGAACAAATGGTTAGCTAAGCTTGAATCACGCAGACGACAACAGGGCGAGAGTGCTGCTGCTCTAGGTGATGATATCCGACAAATGGTTCAGAAAGCTTACTGCAATTTAGATGAGCAAGCTCAAGAAATTTTAGCCTTAAATCACCTTTACAAGCTGATAAGTGTCGAGATGAAGTGCAGATGTATTGATAAAGATTGTCAGAGTATTTCAGAAGCCGCTGACATAATTGACAGATATGAAGCCATCCTTGGTGAAAATTACGACAAAAAGAAACAACATGCTAGAGCTGTGAAGACAATTGATGAGGAATTCAATGTTCCCCAAGCTGTGCCGGTGACCAATAAGTTAACATCCCCTGCTGCATCTAGATGCAACGCCCCTGATTCATCTACAATTATACAAGAAATCAGTAACAGATTGGACCGTTTGGAAAGAGCTAACAAGAAGCTTTCCCCTCAGCTCTGTTTCCATTGCAACTCCCCTAAACATTTCATCAAAGACTGTCCTTATTTGGACAAACCAAGACCTGGGCAGAGAAGAAATCAAGATGTACAAAGGCGACAAAACTACCAACAGGGAAATGGGAGACCATCAGCCTTGTAGGTCGACAGCTGGTGGATAAGCCAAGACCTAGTCCTGATGACTCAAGGGGGGTGGTTTTAAATAAAGAGAAAAAATTCTTAGACAATGGTTTCCATATTACTGGAACATTGGGTGGGTTGGATGTTAATTTTTTATTAGACAGTGGTTCTACTGCATCACTTTTGTCACATGTTGAATTTCTGAAGATCCCAGAGGAGTCCTGTCCTGTCCTTCAACCCTCAAACATATGTGTGCAAGATTTGAATGGTCACGCATTGTCCGTCCATGGTATAGGAAAGTTTTACATTTATCTAGAAGATGTTCCACATGCAATTGACTTGGTGGTGGTTGACATGGATCTTCCTGCTATACTCGGACAAGACTTCCTCTTGCAGTATTGTCGTCACATCGACTACAAAACAAAAACATTACAAACTGAGATGACAACCGTTCAATGCTGGATTGCCAATGATCAAACAGGTACAAATGTAGAGGTCAAGAGAACAGTTTCCATACCTGCAAATTGTGGCATCTGGGTTCCAGTAGCTTTGACCAAGAATGACGACCTCACAGACATAGGGTTCCTAGAGCAACTTAACACCTTCAGCGATGACATACAAGTTTTGGATGGTTTGATAGATACCCAGTCTGATCAGATACATGTAAACATTGTAAACTTTGGAGAAGTACCTGTAAAACTACAAGCAAGAACTACAATTGGTAAATGCAGGAACACATATTTAGTGGACCACGGTATATTACCACAGAGAGTCTTAGTTCTTCAGGGATCCAAAGAAAATACAACTCCTGAAAAAGATTTACCAGAACATCTCCTGGACATGTTTGAAAGAAGTTCGATAAATCTAGACCGAGAACAGAAAGATACCTTCTTCAAACTACTCCTACAGCACAAAGATGTATTTTCCAAGACACCAGATGATCTTGGCTGCACTGGTATAATAAAACACAGGATAGATACAGAAAATGAAAAGCCTGTGAGACAGCCCCTAAGAAGACAACCTATAGCAAAAAGAGATATTGAAAGAAGTGAAGTACAGAACATGATACAAAAAGGTGTAATTGAACCATCCACAAGTGCCTGGGCATCAAATCTAGTTTTAGTAGCTAAACCGAATGGAGCCACTAGAGCATGTGTCGACTACAGACAGGTGAATGCGAAAACTGTGAAAGACGCCTATCCGTTGCCTCGTATTGACGAGTGCCTTGATTCACTTTCTGGTGCCAAATGGTTTTCAACAATGGACCTAAATTCAGGCTTCTGGCAAATCGAGATGGCTGAAAAGGACAAAGAGAAGACTGCCTTTGTTACAACATTAGGACTTTTCCAATTTCGAGTCATGCCGTTTGGTCTGGTTAATGCTCCGTCTACATTTGAGCGACTGATGGAGAATGTACTGAAGGGTCTACAGTGGACTGAATGCTTAGTCTATATGGATGACATAATTTCCCACAGTTCAACTTTTGATGAAGGCCTTCAGCGCTTAGCCAATATTTTCACAAGACTCCAAGAAGCAAATCTAAAGCTCAAGCCATCAAAATGTATATTCTTCCAAAATCTAGGCCATGTAGTTTCTTCACAAGGTATCCAGACAGATACAGAGAAAACATCTGCTGTCAAAAACTGGCCAATCCCCAAGAATGAAAGACAAATTCGATCATTCCTTGGACTTTGTTCTTACTACAGAAGATTTGTGAAGAATTTTGCAGAGATAGCAAAGCCCCTCCATGATTTGTACAAGAAAAAGACTAAGTTCATATGGACCCCTGAATGTCAGAATGCATTTGACACCCTCAAAACAGCTCTTACAACTTCACCAATACTTGGATTTCCATTACCAGGACTACCATTTACTCTAGATACAGATGCCAGCGATAAAGCTGTTGGCGCAGTTTTGTCACAAAATCAAGAGGGCAAGGAAAGAGTTATCGCCTATATGAGTAAAACAATGAATCGCCATGAGCATTCCTATTGTGTCACACGTAAAGAGTTGCTAGCTGTTGTCACTGCCCTTCGGAAGTTTCATCCCTACCTTTATGGCCAGAAGGTTATACTTCGCACTGATAATGCCGCTGTCAGCTGGGTCAGAAGCTTGAAAAACCCCACCGGTCAAACAGTACGATGGCTTCAAGAGATCGAGACTTATGACCTTACTGTTACTCACCGCCCAGGGCGTAGTCATCAAAATGCAGACGCTTTGTCGAGAAATCCTTGCAAACCCTGTCTAAGGCAACAACAAAACAAAGATGACAGTGATGATAGTGATACTGAAAAATCTCATGAAAATGAAGACCAGGAATCCCTGCAAACAGTCAGAGTGACAACTAGAAGTAAAGAAACAGCTCAATGCCAATTCAGGAACCAAGTAATACTAGAGGGATGGGGAGTGGATGAAATTCGACAGATGCAACTGGAAGACCAATCCATGGGTATGCTTTTGCTAGCCTTGACAGATGATTCTGATAGACCAAAATGGGATGTCATATCACACAATTCTGAAGCATTCAAAACCTTATGGAGACAATGGGATAGACTGAAAGTCATCAATGGTCTGTTATACAGAGAGTTCCAAGAGGGGGATACAAACAAGGTCATATTACAATTGGTCGTACCAAAACAGAAGAGGTCAGAGGTTATTCATTACTTTCATGATGTCCCCACTGGAGGCCATCTCGGTGCTGAGAAGACCACATCACGTATCAAGAATTCATTTTATTGGCCATCAATGTCAAAAGAAATTGCTAGATATTGTAAAAGATGTGATTCCTGTGCTGCTCGTAAATCCAGTCAAAAGCAGAACAGAGCACCACTAGGGCAGTACACAGTTGGAGAGCCAATGGAAAGAATAGCTCTAGACATTCTGGGACCCCTTCCTGAGTCTACAAAAGGTAACAGATACATACTGGTTATGATTGATTGCTTCACAAAATGGACCGAGGCTATAGCCATCCCGGATCAAGAAGCTGAGACTGTCATAACAACATTTGTCAATGAAGTAGTCTGTCGTTTTGGTACACCTTTACAAGTCCACTCAGATCAGGGAAGAAACTTCGAGTCAAAAGCCTTTAAAGAGATGTGTGAACTCCTCCATATTGACAAAACTAGGACAAGTAGTATGCATCCTCAAGCTAATGGCAGTGTCGAACGCTTTAATCGCACCCTAGCTACTATGTTGACTATGTACTGTGAGCACAACCAGAGAACATGGGATAAGTATCTCCCACAAGTCATGATGGCATACCGAGCTTCCATACATTCAAGTATCAATACAACACCAAATCTCATGATGTTAGGCAGAAATGTTACTCTACCCCTAGAAGCAGTTGTTGGCAAACCTCCAAATCAGACAGATGATGGCATAGAACCAAATGAGTATATTGATGAGCTGCAAAGAATTTTGACAGATGTTCATGCCCTGGCCAGGAAACACCTGAAAAAGAGCACAGAATACAATAAACGTCACTATGATCTCAAAGCAAAGAAACAATTGTTTGAAAGAGGTCAACCTGTCTGGCTGTATGATGATACCAGGAAAGTTGGAGTGTGTCCAAAACTAACTTCTAAATGGAAAGGTCCTTATCTCATCACTAAGCGAATAGATGATTTGAACTACCTCGTGCAAAGGACATTCCGAAAACCCGCAAAAGTTTATCATGTTGATAGATTGATGTCTTACAAAGGGAAAACCCTCCCCAACTGGTTTAAGAAAATTTTGAATAAACCATAGAAGTTTCTTCAGATGTTGTTTTGTATTCTTATGTTTCATGTTAGTTTAAGAAGTCATACTTAGATGTTTATGTAGACGATAGATGTGAGATTGGTGCACCACTGAGGTTGGGATAGAGCTGGCCTGATCACCCAGAACTCTTCTCCCAAAGATGTTGATAGAGATGGTTAACAAGTCGTTTATAAGACAGTATTATAGACGTGGACCTACTACCTGGTACAAATCACGCACTGAACCTAATAGATGTTTGATGTCTTGTTCTAACCAGTCTCTTAGAGATTTAGATGTAGATGTTAGTATATGAAGTAGCTAACTTTAGAAGTAGAAGTATGAGATGACAGATGTTATGATTTCGTATTTAGTTTAAACAACGAAGAAACTCTCTTAGAAGCTAAGACGATATAAGATGACCCATAAACGCCTTTAACAACCAATTAATTTAATTTTAGACTATGGATATGGAATGTTGGGTGTGCCACCTAAAGTTTCCCTCAAGCAGAGATTTAAAGAATCACATGATGCCAGCCCATGGAACTATGCGAGTTATTTGCCCCTGGTGCCCTGATGAAAGGACGTACAAGAGAGTGACTGACCTCAGAAGCCATATTAAGAGTACCCACCCAACTCAACTTGCTAAATATCCGTCAGATTTGATTTCGGAGAACAATGGAGTGTGGTTTAGCCTCGACCCAGAAGGGTACAGTCGCCTGGTGAATGGGACGGATTGGGGAAGTACATCTGCCACCCACGCAAGAGTGCTAGTTTTAGAGTGGTTGTCAACAGCGAGGAGAATGTCAAGAAAGAAGGACGACTGGCAGGGAGGCTGGGACCAGCTAAAGAAGAACGGCAAAGCACGGGCGCCAACCCCAGAATCACTCTTCCAGCCCGACTATGAGGAGGAGCTGAATACAGTATGCTACACCCCCACCGCCCCAGAGGTAGAAGAGCTCGAGATTTTGTATGTCTCCCTCGTCTTGGGGAACATATGTGTGTTTGTGGGCCAGGGTAGACAAGTGTACAAGATCATCTTGAAGGAAGCAATTTTATCAGATGCCAAGGGTATTGCCAGCCTGTCGAGGAAAATGTCTGTCCAGAAGAGGGTTGAAGCTCCTCAGTCCAATCTACAGAAAATGAGACCGGTAACCTCACCAACCATTCAGAATAGGTTGATTAAGTTTGATGGAGTTGAACGTACTCATCTGGACCAGATTTACTCCTCCCAAGAGACAGAGGCCAATCCTGCCAGTCCTCCAACTAAGAAGATAAGGCTGAGCCCCACCCCTGCTCTCCCTGCACCACCCACAGAGGAAGTTTTGTTTGAGCTGGCCTCACAGAAAGAACCTAATGAAAAACCCAGGGCTAGTATGTCGGAGAGGGCCCTCAACCTATTAAAGCGAGGATGCCTCCCACTATTCCCCCCTGCCAGAAGGGATTGGAGTTCCACACAAATAACGCTTAAATACAAGGATGTTAGCATCACATGGCCCCCTACAGATTGGCAGGCCATGTCCGCAGACAGGAAACTCTTATCGTGGGAATACGCATCAATGATGCTACAACAGAGGATGGACCCGACAAAAAGTTCCACCATCGAACAAATAGATCTTCTAGACAAGTTCAACTTCTTGGCACTTCCAGGCACAGTTGAGAAACAGGGGAAGAAAGAAGCGCACATTGTTCGCAAGGCTCGGTATTACATCTACGAACAGCTCAAGACCATTGTAAGTGAGGACAATGGAGATCCCACTTGGATAAGGATGCTGGAGAGATCATGTGCCCTCAGAGACCGTTCCACTGATGACTTCCTTTCCACCATTGACTCTAAGGACATTCCTATTAGATTGTGAAAGTGTTAAAGACTGTAAAGAGCTATATTCTGTACATGTTAAATTCAGGAGAATTTTGTAATTAAGTTGTGGGGAGTGTAATATATCACTTGATTTGTAAACGTAATATTATGCGGTCGTCCAGTTCTCATTCTTGTTTAATCTATGTTCAACATGTGCCTGCCAGAAAGTTGCTCGTTTAAGATTTTATTGAAAATAATATGTCAGCTTATCTAGATACGATTTTAGTAATAGCTATTATCATCATAATTTACCTGTTGTCGCTTCATGTAATATTGTAGGAGTTATAATATCGGGGAATAGAGGGTGGATTTTACTTTTCATGTTTTGGAAGCCATCATACTTTACTCGGATCGTCATTTCCGGTTTGGTGACCTATATGTATTTACTAGTAATGCATTGTTCTATTGAAGTTATGAATATGGGATCGTATTCTACTTTTTAGTTTGAGTTGTTTTGTGATTTGAAGCTACAAGTTGTTATTTATTGTTAGCATTCACTTTATAATCAGTCAGCTTTATCGGGACTACATTTGTGTACGCTAGTGTCGGTAGTTACGATATTCCTACGCTACATTGTTCTGCATATATTGTACAGTCTAGGGATGTTTTATAAACATTGAAGGAATTTATTAATTCGTCTAGTCAAGCTTATTTTATGTGTTATATTTCCACTTGTCAATTTTACATAGTTTAACTAGTTACGATGTTGTACGGTAGTTTGTGTGGCAGAAGTAGTTCTGTGTGGGAACTTGTGTGGGAACTCAGCCTCCCGTACAAGCTTTTGATTGGTTAATAGTTCGTACGGCATAATTTTATTGGATAATTTGAGTCATGTGACAGGGAATGGGAGGTTATATAAGCGAGCGCGTACTACGTTACGACAGATTTCAGCTAGTTGTATGGCGGCTATATTTGAAAGTTAAAAAGAAGAAAACATAAACGGTGAGATACTTATAATGTTATTTACGTATATTTAGCCTGGTTAGAAATCTACCACACTGGACGACCTAAACTTGTGTTTCTGAAGAATCAGCTGTTGTTATATTGATGTTTATATACATATTGCCTGTATTGTTATGATTATGAGATGCTGCACATACAAATAAATGCTGAGTATGACTGATCAATCATCTTGAGTATCATTCAACAAAGAATCTACACAGAGTGGTGCCTGGTTGTTTAACATATTAGAACAAATTTAATTACTGGTACATCCTGACAAAAGATGGTTTATTTAGAAGATAAACTATGGCCTATATATAGATGCTGAGGATTCAGAAATACTAGCCACCCCTGGGGTAGCTTAAATGCAGTTAATAACACACTTAATTTCAGCTTGACTAATTCTAATGTTATTATTTTCTATTACTTTCTATCACTGCTTTACTTTCAGATTGTTGCCAACTCCTTCCTGGCTAATCCCACCACCTCAGCCACATTTGCCACCATTCTGGTTGACTATCTGCTGGCCAGGCTAGAGGAAATGGGATGTAAGTGAATACAATACTGACTGAATCAGTAAAAAATGACTTAAGTCAGAAAATACTAACTGGAATCAGTAAATACTAACTTGAATCAGTAAATACTAACTGGAATCAGTAAATACTGACTGGAATCAGTAAATAGAGCTATCTTAGTTATTTTATTAGAATTTTTCAGTCTTGTGCATATACATGTAGATATGAGTCCTGTGTACATTTTGTACAAGAATGAAGAGTTTACATGATTTTGATCATACTGAAGTCAAGAAGATGAGAATTTAAGGGAATAATGAGCATCAAATAACTCCATCAAAACCTTTTTGATTTAGCTCATAATTCTTTTAATCAATTTAATCAAAACTTTATTAGAAAATGTTGATGATATCTGACTTCTTGTTTACAGCGAATCTGGATCGGTCCAATCTCTACCTGAAGTTGTTCAAGCTGGTGTTTGGCTCTGTGTCTCTGTTTGCTAATGAGAATGAACAAATGTTAAAGGTAAGTAAATTTGATAGAATTTAGAAATTACATGTTTAACGTCAAATACATGTATGACTTCTGCAAGATAAATACCTGGTAGCTCAGTATAATTCGTTTGTGACTGTGTGCTTAACTCTTTACAACTTACTGAACTGTTATGCAACATACACTTTAAGGTCACTTCATAAGAATATAAATTTACCATTTCCCCGCAAGCACCTTATAGCGTGGTACACGTTTCTCTAATGTTTAGCGTAAATAATATTATGACGTTATATTTTAATACAAAAATAACCTTTCTTATTTTATGAGATTTTTGCAAGCATAAAATTGAAGGAAATTGGCATTAAATAATAGATTAAATGAACTTTTTAAAGTGCGTGAAAATGTGTGATTGCGGGGAAACGGTATATGCGTGATTTTGCGTTAGAAATAGGAAATGGTATATGCGTTAAAGTGCGTGATTGCGGGGAAGGGAGTTAAAGTCTGCAGAAAAAAAACACTTGCATATTATATCTTTTTTGTGAAGAGTCACATATACAGATTTGATATCGATTTCACCCCTGCCCACCACCGTTAACCCCCAAATTTTATATGGATTCTATACTTTTAATACTTTACTTTTCATATGTTGAGTTGTTATTTGTTTTTTCTAAAGCCACATCTGCACACGATTGTGAACCGCTCCATGGAGCTGGCGATGAGTGCCAAGGAGCCGTATAACTACTTCCTGTTACTGAGAGCCCTGTTCCGCTCCATTGGAGGAGGAAGTCACGACCTGCTCTACCAGGAGTTCCTTCCCCTGCTCCCTAATCTACTACAGGGTAAGGGAATGATAATCAGACACTGAGCTATTTGTAGCTGTTTCATTTTCACTGATATTTAAGAAAATGTTTAGTTTCAAACAAACGTTAACTTCATTTTTTGTGTGCAGACTTTTAGAGAGAATATTAAGATAATGTGTAAATAGAACTTTTAAAAATTATAAATTTACTTTAAATTGTGTAATAGAGAGACTGAGGATGAAATTTAAATTGATTTTTTTTCAAAGAATTTTTTCAATTGCTCTAAAAGATAAACTTGATAATAAATATAAAGCCATAATGGTTCCTTCATTTATTCATTTTCTTAGCAAACTATAAAAAGATTAAGAATGGTATCTAAAAGACAAACTGAGGAAAATTTTTAGTTGGAAGCATATTTGTACATACAGAGTCAATTTCTTGTTCCACAGGATTGAACAGTCTACAGAGTGGACTACACAGACAGCACATGAAGGACCTGTTCGTTGAGCTGTGTCTGACCGTTCCGGTCCGTTTGAGCTCCCTCTTACCCTACCTCCCTATGTTGATGGACCCCCTGGTGTCGGCGCTGAACGGGTCACAGACTCTGGTCAGTCAGGGACTGAGGACTCTAGAACTGTGTGTGGACAACCTACAGCCAGACTTCCTGTACGATCACATACAGCCTGTCAGGGCGGAACTCATGCAGGTATGGATGGTCATAAAAGATATAGGTATTAACTGTACAGTGGATGTTTTGTTATCAGGATATAACAGATTAGTGAAAAGTGCAGCCATTTTGTTCTTAAAGTGTTTTCCTCTTCATTTCAAAACTTCAACCCTTGTGCTGGAATTTGATTTTCAACAAAATAAAAAAAAAATCAAGCCTTTAATACAAGACTTTAAAAGTTTTGTAGAAATTTATTATCAAAGAAATTAACACTTTCTAGGACGATTATTTCACAAATATTTATTACATCTGAGAATTAATCTTTTGTTCTCTTCAACATTCCTCATAAAAATTTGTTTGAAAATATAAATGATATTCACTTCTGTACAGGCTTTATGGAAGACTTTGAGAAGTCCAGTGGATAACATTGCTCATGTCGCGTTTAGAGTCCTTGGAAAATTTGGTGGAGGAAATCGCAAAATGTTGAGAGAACCCCAGAAGGTTGTAATTTATACAAAATACAGTTTCATGCAACAGAGATTTTGAGAAAAAAAATTAGAAGAATTGGAAGAATTTATGCTAAATCATTTGTCTGAAATGTTTATACATTTATATAAGCCATGAAAACTCTAAGAAAGGGAAGATTTGTAATGAAACTTTAAAAATTTTTTCTCCATAGCTCCACTACAATGACCGTGAGACAGTGGGACCATGTATCACCATCTACTTCCAGGATTGTAAAACACCCATAACTAAACCAGTAGAAAAGGTATTGTTTCTCATATCGTAAATTTAAGGTTATTGTATATGATAATAAAACATGAGCTTTGAAATAATACATTTTTATAAGTTTCTTAATTTTATTTTTCCAACTCTATCAGTTTAAATTTTATAAAAAGAAATTTAAAGTTATTCAAGGCTTACAGTATGATTACAATCATTATACATGTAACTACTGGGCCATTTTAAGCATCCGCTTCCTTTTTGTTGACATGATTCCCCTACTTTTATTTACACCAGGCAGTGGACTTTGCTCTGACCACACTTAAGTGCAGTACCACTGATAACTTTGCTCGGAGACAGGCCTGGGAACTCATCAAATGTTTCCTGGTCTCTGTGATGAACCTAGAAGATGAAAAACTGACCCTCACCAATCTGTTTACACACACCAGGTAATAACATACACACCAGGTAGTTTGTGTACAGATGAACACATACACCATGATTTCAGTTAGGAACAATTCAATTATGTACATGTATTTAATGTAAATCGAAAATTGTAGCTTTACAGAGAAGGAAATTCCCATACAGACAAGCCAGCTGTACAAAAATCCTGACGCTCACTCCAGGAAAGTACATGAGCAAGCTCTGACTGGAATGTTTGGTAAGTTATGGGAGATCTAGACACCCATAGAAACATGCTTTAAACTTTGGTCTCGGCTAGACTTACTATTTCATCAGTTACTTTTTGCTGTAAGATAAATAACTTGAAAGCGGGGACTTTAAGACAAAATATGATTCTTTTAGACTAGCTTTTGTTCACAAATAATAAGTTTCTTTGAATGAATTTCACCATAAGATTTATGTGTGTGTTGTGATGCTCTGTTAGACATTAGAAGTGAAGGTAAAGAAAGTAAGTAAAATAAAAGCATTTACTGGTAAGTTTTGGGTGGGGAAGAGGGGGGAGTTCAAGGGTTAATATTCTTCAAACTTGATGGTTTTACTGGTATTTTTTTTCTTCTGTCACAGAAATTTCCATGGATTTGTTCAGTGAATTATACCAAAATTTTCTTTTTATAAACAGTTGCAGCAGCCATTAAGGAGTTAAGACAGATTGCTCTCCCCTTCATGGCGTGTATGGTCAAACACTACACCATGATAGCCATATCTCAGCAGTGTGGTGAGTCATAAAATATGATTGATGTGCTTTATGCCAGAAATTTGTTTGAGTAAGATATGGATTACTCAAAAGGACATAATAGGCAAAAAAAATACTGGCTTGTAGACTGAGATCATGGTATCTTCTTCAGAAAACCAAAAGAATTATCTGACTCTTATTAAAGAAATTCAATACAGTTAATTAAAGATTTCATTAACAAACAGAATAAATTCAGAATTTTTTATAACAATGAAAATGCATGTTTGACTGTTTTCTTCCAAAACAGGTCCATTCCCAGTGGGGGACAAACAGAACAAGCTTCAGGGTATGGACACACAGATCCTGATCGATGCCCTCGCTGTTATCATGGGACACGAAGAGAAGGAGCTGTGTAAACCAGGGAACCTGGCTCTGGTCCTAATACTGGACACAGCTACCACTCTACTGGGATCTAAAGAAAGGGTAAGTGTAAAATTAGAAACCTGGCCTGGTCCTGATTGTAGACTCAGCAACTTGAAAAAAAGTCAGTTTCAAATGTGCACCCTTGCCTTGGTTCTAATTCAGGACACAGGTGAGTGTAAGTATAAATTGGAGAAGAAAACAAAATTAGTCCTGATTCTAGTCCCAACAAATGCCCTAAAACTGTACTAAGAAGATTTAAAAACTTTACATGATATTCTAAAACATACTATTGAGTGGCTCTTTAACTGAACTTGGAATGCAGTGTTGATTTATGATTTTGATTCCTCTCTTTTTCCCCAGGCCTGTCAGCTGCCCCTGTTTGAGTACCTGGTAGAGCGGATGTGTTCTCTGTGTTATGACAGGGCATGGTACGCCAAGTTTGGAGGGTAAGTCATTATTTGGAGGAAGCTTAGACCTTGATAGAAAAGAAGTTTTTAATTAAACTTAAAGTCAGAATTCATCAATCAAAACTATGCATGTTTATTTTATATATTTGGAATTTTTTTTAAATGTATGAATGAAGTATGTGTGTTTTATAAAGTTACCATGATATACCGGTAGACAGGTTCATGTATATACATGTATACATACAGATACATGTATATGAGGTATAAGCTGACAAGTTTATACTGTATTTGTGTTTTGATTTCAGGTGCCTAGCTGTCCGCTTTATGTATGAGAGGATGGCCCTGAAGTGGGTACTGGAGCACCAGTTTATCTTCCTGAAGGCTCTTCTGTTTGTCATGATGGATCTCACCAAAGAGGTGGGTGTAGTGGCTTCTATAACTTAAAAATCATTCAATGTTTGTAAATGATAAAAGGCTGGCATGATATACAATGTCTTATCTTTTCACATGTATGTGAACCAAAGATTTAGAATTGTATAAGGTCTACTAGAGAAGGGAGGATTTGATATAAGTAATGTTATAATTGTTTTATCTTATATTAAACCATTTTGGACTTCTAAAAGTGTAGCACTGGTGATCCACCATTTTCATGATGGTGTTAAAAAAAACCCAAACTTTCATTTTTACTACCTATTTTCACTTTCACTATCAGGTGTCCAGTGGGGCTGTGGACTTGGCTAAAAATAACCTGGAGAACATGCTGATCAAGTGTGCCTCGGAAATCGAGGGTGAGAAAGCATCAGAGGAAATCCTGGCCGCCCAGAAGAAGTCACTACATGAGGTGGTGCACGAACTGGTCAGACAGATCACCTCCCCCAACACCATCGTCAGGGAACAGGTGGGGCAGGGTCAACGTTTGCATCTCTCTGAGTCTGAGGGAATGAATACATACTGAATTTTATGTTAATTAGCATTATGATGGCTTTGGCATTCACAGATAGTATGAAAGCAATAAAGTAGCTATAAAGATACATGTTCATAGTACTGTAAGCCAAGAAAAAAAAAGTCTTTTTATTTTTAGTGAAAAATAATACTATGAACAAGGAATTTCGTATTTTGAATACTGTAGATCACTTAACTTTCGCGACACCTTTTTTTCGCGAGATAATCATTGACTCTTTAATAGCAAGACAAAATTTTCACGAATTGAGGTCACTGCTCTGTATAATCTTAAGGAATTAAATTATACGCGAGAATGAAATTTTCGCGAGGATACCGTCTCGCGTAATTACGCGAAAATAAAGTTCTCACGAATAAAAAGAGATTTACAGTAATTATTTATATATTAAAATGTTGTTCATGGTATATGATTTAAGATTTCTTTGCTAACAAGGGGATGCAAGAATTTTGAATTTTCTTTCAGTTGATTAGAATGATAATGTGAAAATATGTTTTTTTTTTCTTGTATAGGCCATGCATTCCTTGGAGACTCTGGCCAAGACAACAGGGAGATCGGTGACGGACATCATGGAACCTCACAAGGAGGTCTTACAGGACATGATACCTCCTAAAAAACACCTCCTCAGACACCAACCAGCCAATGCACAGATAGGACTCATGGTAAGTCAAGACAACCCCCCCCCCACCTCCCAAAAAACACCTCCTGAGGCACCAGCCTGCTAATGTACAGATAGGACTCATGGTAAGTCATTCCCCCCTCCCCCCCCCCCCCCCCCCCCCCCCCCCCCCCCCGCAGGTTGACTTACCATGAGTCCTATCTGTAAGTCAACCTGCAAAAAAAATTCCTCAGAATCTAGATAGACCAATCCACACTTTACAAAAGTTAATTCCCTTTGCGGGGTCAACCAAAAGGTCAAAATGGAAAGAAACAACATTTCTCCTCTTTATGCTACCAAACATTTGGGTGGGCTATGATGAATCCACTGTGTTTAAATTGTTTTCTTTGGATGTGTGGGTAGCCCTAACTTCTGGCAAACAGTATACACTGATGCAAGGATTTTTCCCATTCAAAATGACAAAGTTACAAACCTGAAAACTACAAAGGATACTGTGAGGATTCTATGGTTTCGTCTCCTAAGATGGCGGCCAAGGGACATAACTGTTGAAAAGTATGGATTCAACTTTTGCAAATGTATAAATAGGACTCATATGGTAAGTCAGACACCCCTTCCCCTCCCCCCCCCCAAAAAAAAAAAAAAATTCATTAACATCTCATGAGACACCAGCCTGCCAACTCACAAATAGAAATAGTAAGTCAGAAACACCCCCCACCCCCCCCCCAAAAAAAAAACCTCATGAGGCACCATCCTACAAATGCTTATACACGTATATGACTGGTAAGTCAACAGCCCTCCCCTGTTGGATGTAACTTCTTGTTCGTAGATACATGTTTGGAATATGTTTGGTACACAGTCAAAAATGTTTCATTATTTTAATTTTTTTTGTACATTAGGATGGAAATACCTTCTGTACAACTCTACAGCCCAGGTTGTTTACTATTGACCTGAATGTACTTGAGCACAATGTCTTCTTTACTGAGGTAAGTTCTTTTCATTGATAATGAAATTCAAATAAAATCTTGAAAAAATCTTTAGATAAATCATTTATCATAAAAGAAGAAATGAAGTTATCCCTCAGTTTTTCATTTATTTTCTTGATTTACAATCACCTACATAATTTAAAAAAAAAACAAAAAAACCTTTGACTTTGTGTCCTTTTTGTTGATTCTTGACCTTTAACCCTCTGATTGACAGCTGCTGAGTCTCTGTGAGGCAGAAGATGCTGTGTTGTTGAAGCTTCCCTGTTATAAGTCAGTAACAGACCTCGTCCCACTCAGGAAAAGTGCCCTCAGTAAGTTAATTTCCATCTATTGAACTGTGAGATTGCTTACAGAGGAATTTTTTGTGCCTCTCTGCAAAAGGCACAATGTTCATTGGTTGTGCAATAGTTAATTGAAGTATGAAATGAAAAAGCTGCTCTAAATGCTGACAGTTTGAGATTAGCCAAAAGTTTTCAACAGAAACATTTTTAGCTCTACTGGTCAGAGACCAGAAGAGCTTATGCGATAGTAATGCGTCCGGCGTCCGTCCGTCTGTCCGTCTGTCTGTCCGTCTGTCTGTAAACAATTTTTCAAAATGCTACTCCTCCTACAGTTTTGGTTTGATTTCATCATAACTTGGCACACAAGTAGACTACACTAAGATACATAATTCTATGTATCGGTTTTTGATTTCGATGAACGGTGTTGCCGTGGTTACTAAAAATAGAAATTTCTGTGATATTCTTTCAAAACGCTACTCCTCCTACAGTTTTGGTCTGATTTCAGTATAACTTGGCACACAAGTTGACTACACTAAGATACATAATTCTGTGTATCGGTTTTTGATTTCGATGAACGGTGTTGCCGTGGTTACTAAAAATAGAAATTTCTGTGAAATTCTTTCAAAATGCTACTCCTCCTACAGTTTTGGTTTGATTTCATTATAACTTGGCACACAAGTTGACTACACTAAGATACATAATTCTGTGTATCGGTTTTTGATTTCGATGAACGGTGTTGCCGTGGTTACTAAAAATAGAAATTTCTGTGAAATTCTTTCAAAATGCTACTCCTCCTACAGTTTTGGTTTGATTTCATTATAACTTGGCACACAAGTAGAATACACTAAGATACATAATTCTATTTATCGGTTTTTGATTTTGATGAACGGTGTTGCCGTGGTTACAAAAAATAGAAATATCTGTAAAATTGTTTCAAAATGCTACTCCTCCTACAGTTTTGGTCTGATTTCAATATAACTTGGCACATAAGTAGAATACACTAAGATACATAATTCTGTTTATTGAATTTTAATTTTGATGAACGGTGTTGCCGTGGTTACTAAAAATAGAAATGTCTGTAAAATTGTTTCAAAATGCTACTCCTCCTACAGTTTTGGTCTGATTTCAGTATAACTTGGCACACAAGTAGACTACACTAAGAACATAAAGAGACTTTATCAACGATCATTATTCTATTTAGTTTCAAATCCCAGCTGCTTAAGTACTTTTCTCTTCCTTTGCTATAAGTTCAAACCAGTAGAGCTTCAGTCTCGACAGAGACTTCTGGTTTTTTCAGTAGATTAAATTTAGTGAAATGAATACAGTTCTAGCAAATATGTCTGTGTTATGAATCAGTATTAACCCCTTGGTAGTTTTTAAGAAGACATTTTAAAAATCGAGTTAAAAAAAATTATGACCTGTAAAAGTTTCTAAATAAAGGCTTTTCTTGATACATGTAACTATTTCTTAAAGAAAAAATAAAAGTATTTTCTGTTCTAATTTTAGGAGCCCTGGCTGCCTGTCACTACATTTCTAACAAGAGGGAGAAGATCTTCAATGTGTTGTATAAAGCCCTGAACAGTAACAGTACAGAACTACAAGAAGTGGCCCACGACTGTATGAAGAAAGTAAGTGTTGTTTAAACAAATCTGGTAACTGTAAAGTTTTGAAAAATATTTAATTGAATAATTTTATATTAAATTGGGGTATATTTTTTCCTTCGTTACTTCAAATACAGTTATACAAAAATTCACTTATACACAAATTTTCCTGATGATTAGATTTTATTGATATGTCATCTAAAAATGGATTTTTGGGCGTTGTTTTGAAATTATCCTTTAATTAATTATCAATGTATAGTCATAAATTTCAAGTGAAATTTAGCTTTTTTGATAATTGTTTACATTGAAATACACATAATTAAATCCCCAACAAACAATTCATTTACAGAAGTGCAATATTCCAAATGACTATACATATATAATTTGTACCTTATAGTTTATACTGGGGTGTCAGATAGACATGGAGAGTGTACACACGGCGATCCGTCCGCTCCTGCTGACTCTGGGAGATCACCGCAGTCTGAACGCCAGCGTCATACAGAGGCTCTCCTACATCACACAGCTCTTCCCCAACACGTTCAATGAAAAACTCTGTGAACAGCTATTGGTGAGTGGATATATTATTTTCCTTCAGATTAGTTGATCTGATTAATTGAAAGCATGTCATGTGCAGGGAGACAATTTCAGTGTTTTCCATAAGAACCGGATACCGGCCAAATCGACTGCTTCAATTGAAACAAGTGCCGCTCAGAAATCCAAATTTTTTTTTTTTTTTTTTTTTTTTATTGTAACTTTCACACATATTACAAGCATCCTTACAAACTTCTGTGAGTATATATATGTACAGTCAAATTCAAACAAGATTAATTATAGTTGAAAATTATACAAAATTAGTGTGAAAGTTTATTAAGAGAGAAAGATAGAAGAGAGAGAGAGAGAGAGAGGGGGGATAGGTAAGCTCTTCTTTACATAATGTGTCCTAAAACATATTCAGTTTTCTTTAAGCTTACCAAATTAAAAAAAAAAAAAACAGGGGAAATAAAGAAAAAAAATAGTGCAGTGCAGTGCAGTTTCGAGGGATTTACAAGTAACATAACAAAGAAGAAAAAAAAGAACAAAAAACAAACTGATTGCAATGAAAGTAAATCAATCAAAATATAACAACCCATTTCTGCCAGAAAGTATTAAAATCTGTCAGTTTTCTATCATCTTTTACATTGTATTTCAAAGATTTAAAATAGAAGTTAAGTAAATTTAAAAGACCTTGAATAGATGGACAGGTATTCTGACAACGGACTTTATAAATATAATGTTTCATTAATATCAACATAATGTTGAAGTACTGTAGATCACTAAATTTTCGCGACACCTTATTTTCGCGAGATAGTCATTTACTCTTGATTAGCGAGACAAAATTTTCGCGAATTGTGGATATTGCTCTATATATTCTTAAGGAATACTATTATACGCGAGAATTAAATTTTCGCGAGCACACTGTCTCGCGTAATTACGCGAAAATAAAGTTCTCGCGAATAAAAAGTGATTTACAGTATTCTGAATTTTCATTTTCGTCTTTTTCACCAAAAATAAATGATTTCACTATTTCGTTAGATTGCATGTACTTCAACAAGCAGCGACCTGCCCCATGTTCACCTCCATCCCAGTAGCTTTCCTGTAACTGTCCTGAGTTGTCTATGAATCTATAAACTAAGATACGATGATCTGCTTCCGCCGAAACAGGATCAATACTCACTTTTTTATAAAGTTCGTTCACCTCCTCTATCGCGTGAATCTTCCGTCCCGTGGCAAAGATCTCGGAATTCTTTACCCTGGTTGGTTCTGTGTGAACGATATCAACATTATCCAGTTTCACTGTTTCCTCCGGACTGATCTTTAGCGCATCTGATATTTCCAGCTTTGGAATAGGGTCCACATATCGATGTCCATTTGGCATGACCACACGCCCCTTTTCAACTTTACATGTTTATATTTTGCTTTTTCAAGGAGTCGGAAATTTCGCTTACGCTCCTCCAGAGCTGACGCTGGCTCTTGAGCTGTAATGTAGAATGGTAGATCCATTTTCTCTGCCTTTTTCTGTTTTTGAGCGCGGAGAAGTTCATCCTTTTTTCTGCCGTCCACCAACTTACCATTGATGGATACTGGTCTTGAATTAATCGTTCCTCTTACGCTGTTTCTGTGTATTCGGACGAACTTCACCTCAACCCCAAGATATTCCTTCAACATATTAGGAACCTGTTGATCCAACTTTTCATCCGAGGTGTATGCTAAATTATGAATCATAATATTGTCACGCATTGATCGCGATCTCAAGTCTGTAATTTCTGACTCCATGTTCTGCATTCTGCGATCCATGTGTATCATCATCGCACGCAATAGATCAAGTTCTCTGTGTAATTGTGCATTCTCTGATCTCACATAATATAGTTCATCACTGTTACTTTCAGATTGTTCTGCGACATACTTCAAAGAGGTCATTAGCCCAGTCTCATGATCTTCGATCAGTGACGTAATCTTCTTTAATTCCCCCTCTATATGTTCATATTTTGGTAACATTTTACTCATTCCCTGCAACGTTTTCTGTGCATTTTTAAGACCGTTTTCTATAGACTCAACTTTTTCTTCAGCTATCGATCTTACTGCCAATTTTTCAGGTGAACTCTCTTCAGTTCTTTTGTTTTGTGAGTTGTTTACGGTATTTCAAGAGCGTCCACCTTTAGCTTTACTGACCTTCGATGCCATTTTCGTTTTTTTGCCGCTTAGTCTGATCGCAACATAAATAATCACAGATATTCACAAAGAATACACATAGACACAATCCCTGGACAAGACATGTAAAAAATTCAATCTACATCCACCTTAAATCGACCAACTTTACTGAGCCGTCATTTACACGTCCATGCTGACCGATCACGTGACTAAATTTTTGACAAGGTTGACTGATTCTGTTCATAAACATCAACCCTTAGCCTGCAACATTTCATATTTAACCCTTTACTTCAAAATAAAGGGAAAGCACTGCAATTTTTAATGCAGACCTGCCTTCCCTTCTGCTTTTTGGCATAAATCCAGACCTGTTTACTCTTACGATTTCGTCGTATTTTGTACGGATTTCTGGTCCAAAATACGTCTCACGTTTTGCTATTATGAAAATACGGAGATAAGAAATACACTTGTTTAGAATTTAGTTTTCATTATGATCTATCTCGGTTTCAAGCTTTTTAATGGCTTAAAAAAGATTTCAAACACAGTTATGTCCGTTTGCCTAAACGCCGTGGTATAAAATGATCAATACCATGTTATTAAACCCATTTTTTAGTAGTCAGAAAAGCAGATGTTCTTCATTTTTAGCTCTACTGGTCAGAGACCAGATGAGTTATTTGATAGTAAGGTGTCCGTCGTCCGTCCGTCTGTCTGTTTATCTGTCTGTAAACAATTTTTCAAAACGGTACTCCTCGTACAGTTTTGATCTGATTTCAATATAACTCGGCACACAAGTAGACTACAACAAGATACATAAAATAGTGCATCGGTTTTTGGTTTCCTTGAACAGTGTTGCCATGGTTACTAAAAACAGAATTTTCTGTGAAATTCTTTAAAACGCTACTCCTTCTACAGTTTTGATCTGATTTCAATATTACTTGGCACACAAGTAGACTACACTAAGATACATAAAATAGTGCATCAGTTTTTTCTTTCAATGAACGGTGTTGCCATGGTTACTAAAAATAGAATTTTCTATGAAATTCCCTTAAATCGCTACTCCTTCTACAAATTTGGTCTGATTTCAATATAACTTGGCACACAAGTAGACTACATCAAGATGCATAAAATAGTGGTTCGGTTTTTGATTTCGATGAATGGTGTTGCCATGGTTACTTAAAATAGAATTTTCTGTGAAATTCCTTTTTAACGCTACTCCTTCTACAGTTTTGGTCTGGTGGCTATGGTGTCTTTTCTCATCCTTTGTTATAAATACAAACCAGTAGAGCTACAGTCTCGTCAGAGACTTCTGGTTTATGTAAAATTGATGGAAATTGAAATCTTACTGGCAAATGCCAAATCTCACGGACAAATCTAATCAAAAATACTGAGAGACAACGATAGGGGTAAACAGGTCTGTAAATCTTACCAAAACTTAAAAGGCTAACTTTGGAGTTATATTAAGGAGTGCTAAAAAAATAATGAAAAGTTTATTAAACAGAAATGTGTCAAAGATTTGAAAAAAGTCATTGCTTATGTTGAATATTAAATGATTCTGGTGATATGTGGAATAAATATAACCAGCTCTGATTTTCAAATCAGTAAATTCTCACATTGCATAGAACAACATATACTAGGCACATACAAGTGAATGTTAAAAAAAAGTAGCACATTTATGCACAATTTATGTTAACATTGAAAATGTAACTCATAATCAAGTCTTTTGCTATTAATTAATCAAATGCTTCATTTAGCATAATTAAAAGATTTAAGTTAAATTGATATGACTGCATTTAGGATAAAATAACAGTTGTACAACTACATGAGGACTTTGTATCAATAAATGATTTGAAAGAGAAACATTAATGCATGCTTTGTTCTGGAGGTTTAACAATACAGCAATACATTGATCATATTGATTGCAATGTCTTCCTATACATGTATCGAATTGCCAAGTATGCATGATTTATTACAAGTTGATGTTCATTGTCTTATTTGAAAATTCTACATGCAAACTGAGAAAAGTTAATGTAACAAAATTATTGAATACAAGGTAGCAATGAAAAAAAATACAATATTAAGACTATACACACACCTATAAATAACTTTGAGTAGGGGTCTCAAGATATTCATTTTATATTTTCTATAACTGTGGAGGTAATGAAGCACAAATATGACTGTAAAAATATCAGTTAATCTTGAATCATCATTGGTGTTGTTTGTGGGGGACCAATGTTCGTGGCTTTTGAGGGTAACTTTGACCCACAAATTTACATCCCCAAGAAAGTATATTCAACCATTTGTTTTATTATTCATTAAAAGTTAAACTACAAAGTAGTACTTGTTAGAAACGAAATTACATCCTCACAAACCAGAAAAGTTTTGGTTACCCATGAACATTGACCCCCACAAATAAAAACTAGAGGTACTGTGAGCAATGAGCTCACTAAATGATATCCCCCACCTCCCATTTGGTTATAATGGCAAAGTCCATGTTTTGCTGTGGCTGGGAAACCCAAAATATTTTTCTGTTCAAAAAGTAAAATAGGAGGTGCACAATGGCAATATGTAATAAATATTCTGTGAAAGTTTCATTAAAGAACTATATGCGGTATATTGCATATATTTGCCCCCCAAAAAGTCAAATTTTGAAAACTTCCTGAAATGTGCTGAATTCAATAAATTGTATGAGAAATATAAATTAACAGAAAATATTATAGTGTCAAAGCAGTGTATTCACAATTTTTGCTTTTATGACGTCACAAACCAGACCGATTTCATATCATTTTTTAGAATGAAGACAAAATGGACAAAATTTCAACAATTTATAGAGCGCAAGTTTGTTCGGGAACAATATTGACATATTTCGTTGATATTATCATACTA